TTCTTCAAGGTTTTGAATCCTTATTAATGCATTGAACCACAGCTACAAATTTTAAATTTCATCATAAAAATGCCACAAAAAAATAAGGCTAGCTTTTATTATTTCCTATTTAAAAATGAACCAAAAAGAAAACAGGAGTATCTCTCACACTTTCACTATAGAATAGAGGTTGAAGGTTCTACTACCAAGAATACAACTACAACTAACTCCTTCATACAATTAAATATAGATAGATAAATATAGATCATATCTGCCCTGAGTTTCTCAAAGTTGTGGAATATCATACAAATCCCTAAAACGGTGCCGTCCAAATTCAGTCCTAAAGGCTCTGCTATCCGCCATGTTGAAATTGCATTTCAAGAAAGAAAAACAGCAACAGCTGATTACAAATCTATGCAAAGCCAAAAGGAACAAGTAAATAACAGCTTCCTCGAAATGTAGAGAGGTACAGTAGAAAGTCATAAGTACCCCCCTCCAAAAACAAAACAACAAAAAAACAAACAAAAAAAAATCCCTCAAGTAAAGTAAATATACTCAAAGAAAGTACTTAAGTACAGTAATCAAGTGTAGTTTACTTTCTACCTCTGGTTAAAAATAAGGACGGGACAGTGAGCTGGAACCGGTCTGATAACACAGCTGACTACAATCTGTCTCGTCTAATAACTGTGCTGTGAAGAAGATGCTTATGGATTCTTATTTTATGTGTTCAAGAGACTCTAGTATAGTTGTAACAACAGAGCCAGCCTTCCTTGTCAGCCTACTGATCTTTCCTGATCCTGAAGCCCATACAGAAGATCACTGCTAAAATAGGACCCTCCATAATAGATCTGCAGCATCTCGCTAAAAACAATAAACGTCTCAAGTTTAATCAAGAAAGACCATCTGCTTTCTGTCTCCCTGTAAACGGCTTCATTACATATCAGGTGCAGTTTGTATTAGAGGTAAACCCATAGATGTTTATACTCCTCTGTCACTTCTGCTTCTACTTTAAATATTGAAAAAGTGTCGGATCTAATCCTGATTCTCCATAAATCCAGTTATCTTATTTGTCTTGTGCATTTTCAAAGTTAAATTATGTTTCCCACACCTTAACACCGTTTCCTTTAGAGGGGTTCCCTGTTCATGTAGCTCCGCCAACTGCTGGTCAATGACATATTTTCTCTGAAGGATAAGATGAGCTGATATTCCTGCAGATTCTTTCATTTTATGCCAATTTGCCGAGGATGATATTTGCATGTCCCAGTTTAATCTTACTTTTAATAAGATTTGCAATCAGTTTATTGCTCATCATCTAATGTGTTGCGATACTAACGGTTCATTGTTTATTTTTTGCTCCCCTGAGATTCAGCTCAGCAGGACTCCATTAAATACTTTTAAAATAAAAACACAATTTCATCATTGAATTTCAAGATGGAAAACATAATCATGATTTTTTTTTTAAAGTTAGTGAAACAAAAAATAGAAAATAGTAATAATAACAAATTACATTAATCATGGTCAGTTTATGCTAAGCAGCTTTTCTAACTGGACCTCTTACTTTGAAAGCAGGATGACACAGTTCTGAGCACGTCTGCCGTCAATGACTGAAAGCTCTTTGACCTTTCGTGTGCTCACATAGATGTCATCCATAGAGCCCGTTTCTTTCTGTAAAAAAAAAAAATATATATATATATATATGTAGAATGTTTATCATAAAATCCTGGCATAAAAATTAACATATTCTCTTCATTCCGTTTTAACAACTTTAGTCAGAGAACAACCATTTCAGGGTAAATTTAATAAGAAACAACTCAGAACAGCAGAGGAAAACCTTTGCATCAAGCACAGAGTAGAAGAGTTTAGGCTTCGATTAAAGTTAATTATTTTTAGATACAGAGATGGCCTACATAAAGGATCAGAGGCCGTCACAATATAATACCTCATCAGAAATACTCAAAGAGCAGAACATTTTTCCTAATCAGATCTCAGATAATTGCAGCTCTAAATAGATTCTATGCAGGTTGTTTGGTCCTGCATGTTAAATACATTCTATTTATGTCCAGCCTGGTTTCCTGCAAGCCAAAAAAATCTCTGTTTTTAAGGTTGTGAGGCATGACATGTAAAACAGATGTGTCAGTGTCTGCATCCATGTTGACCTTGGGTGTTTGGCAGCTGGACGGGTTGGCAGCAGGTTAGGGGGCAACTCCCATCCACTGAAACCATCAGAGCGAGCTCTACCACACTTTGTGGATCAAACACACTGCAGTGACTAAAATGTTGAACTTTTCTAACAGTTACCAAGTGACAGATGGGAATTAGCTTGTTTTTAACCAGACATTTAAAACAGAAACCCTGAAATGTGCAGCTTCCATTATAAGATTGTGATTACCACCTCTGTCACAAAAAAAGGGCAATACTGTATTTGTTTGATGTCAGAGCTAAATATGGCTACTAAAGATGGAATAAAAATATGTCCCAGCAAATATACAGATTATGTGCCTCTCTATAAAAAGGACCAAATATGCATAAATCAATAAAATGTTGAGTAAAATAAATAGTTTTAATAATTTAAGTAATTGAGGTTTGGTTTGATTGGTAATCTGTCAATCAGAAGGTACAATTTTAGAAATCTGTGACTACGGCCATGAGAAAGCAAAAAATGTTTCACTGCAAGTTATAACATATCAGGAAATAGATATAGTCTATACCTGGTTCTGTTCTTTGATATCACATCTAGGGCTTAAAAATTAGTCAAGACAAAAACTAACACAGATAATTGAGTAGCCCTAAACATCACCCCTCCACCATCGTGCTTTACAGGTGGGATTATGTGTTTTTACCGATATGACATATCTTGATTTCTCCAAAACTGGTCCCTAATATTGTTAACAAATATCTCTTCTTTAGCCCTAATGGTGTTATAAAGTTTTATTCCAGAGGTGCTCAATACTTTTTAGTTGCAGCTTTGCAAAGCAGTTGAATCCTAGATCTTTTTGTTTTGCATTTTCTCACGAACAGAACAGCAGTTAAGGTTCATTTGCTGGGATTTTCTTCTATAAAAACTTTGCTAGCTGTCTTAAATATTTTTCACATGAGAATATTCTCTCTGTTGGCTGATTCCAAACAGTTCACAAATGGTCTTATAAGCATTCATTCAAATAAAGTGTTGCAACAAATTCATTTTTTTTTCTATTGCCGTGGTATTTCCACTACAGCATCATTGCACCAACTGTGGGAGCCCAAACTATAAAAACTCTGCTTTTATAGAGATTAACATCCTGATAATTATTAAATATTAAGGTAGATTTATTAAAAAGTACATAATTACTTCAATAACATAGTTTTAAAACAAAGTTAAGACTTTGAATCACTAAACAAAATCAGAAAAAATAACTTTTTCATCATGAAAGCTGTTTACCCGGCTTGTGCAAGGCAGAATGTGAGATTATAGAAGCGCTAAAGGTGGGCAACCATTGTGGTCCAGAAGCTCAAAGATGTTTAACTCACCTGTTTGAAGGATTGGTTAGTTAGCAGGTCCTGCCCAGGCAGTCGGAGAGCGCAGAGGGACAAAAAAAGTGAGAAGACATGCAAAGATTAGCACTTAAAGCTGGACAGGCTTAAGCAAAGAACTACAGCTAGTAAATGCAGACTACAAGCCAAAGCTGGAAAGCTTTCTTAGACAATAACAATGACCTATTGTTTCATTTGTCAAGGGCTCAAAGGATCCGCACAGGAGGCTGAAAGATTAACAAAAATAGTTTAGCTTCTTGTGTACTTAAAGACGTCATGGATGCTTTAATCCCTTTTTGTTTTGACTGCATCCCGGTCCATCTGACATGGAAAAACAGAGCCATGAAATATGACTGCTGTAGACAATACTACAGAGTGCAAATGCAAACAAAATACCATTTTGACAGACCGATTAAAAGCTCTTAAACAAGAGTATGTCATGCATAAACACTGCGTTACTGCCCAGTTGAATTTAAATTGAATTTGGCTCTTTCCAAACGGGAACTAGGCTGTCAAAGACAGGAAGATGTTGGGTTTTTATGCGACTGCATCCACTGGGATCAGCGTTTAAGCGTTGGCCAATGCCAATAAAAACGTGCACAGCACAAATAAATACCTGCAGTATATCACTGTCAGGAACGACCCCAAATGACCCATTCCTCCTTAATAAAAGCTTGCAAAGAGACACTGTGATTGTTCATGTCTGACAGCTGTAAAATACATTAACTCGACAATGGTGATGCCTCAGCAGAGATGATTTCTTGCTCTTTAATGGAATCTTAATGACCTCACTTTAAACTGTGATTATTAGAAACCAATTAGAGTAAATTAACTCTCCACTTAAACCCTTTTAAAGCTGTACAATGTATGACAAGGGTTCAGTTCATTCCCAGCAGAGAGGAGAGTAATTGCTATATGTTGTTTGACAGGTCCACAAGGTATATGGCAATTATTCTTTAGGTTATCCTGTGGTTCAGCATGATTTACTCTATGAATCTGTTTACTTTCAGTATGTCATATTTTTCATGCTTTCTTGCATCATGACTACTTGTGAGTTTAATGTTGACCCTGATTTAAGACATCAGGCAGTTCTCACACCAACGTTCTGTAGACACCAGCAGATGTAACAAGGAGCCATTCAGCCGCTAAAAGAAGCTCATATTAACCTTGAACTGGACCAATTACTCTCAGTCATCTTCTAGGATCCTATACAAACACTTTGTCTTATAGTCTCTGCAAAGTGATCTCATTCAACTGATTGGATTAAATTTCACACATACTAAGCATCCAATATCATCTAAGCCAGAGTCAAATCCAAACCTGCTGTCTCTGATACGCTGAGAACATCTTCTCTATGTCCTTCAGGTCGAGAATCTTGAATGCCCTCAGGTCGTCAATTTCGTTCCAGATGGTGCCGTTGATCATATTCTGAAATAGCAGAAGGGGGTTCATGTTTAAACTGGGATTATCAAACAAACTGCCGATTGGAGTTGCAGATTGGGTAGCTGAACATTTTCTGTGCAAAAACAACAAAAACATGAATACATTTTTATAGGAAAATCTGTTTTAATTGGTAAATGATTAATCCTCGATGTATGTTTGATATTATCATAGAGTAAATCCCCTCTTACATGCCTCTATAAAATGATTTTTAGTTACTTTCTATCCCCATACCATTTTTTTACTATTTTACAACAGTGGTGGATAAGTTTACCATTCATCAATCACTGGGATAGGTAGTTATAAATATGCTCAAATTAAAGCTTCATGTTGATACCATTGTAAATTATGATGGGAAACAGCATCAGTCTTCTTTTTATTTATCTTGGTTTTAATTCCAGTTTAAACCCATTGACTCCCATGAACCATGATATATTATGACCCCTAGATAAACTATAATAACTCTAGCCAGCCTCCCATTATTCATTTGAGTCATAGAATCACATTTCCCAGATCAGGACAAGGAGTGGAATACCAAAAAAAATTCTTTACATGTAGCAGTGAACAAAATGTACTTCTAATGCACTGCGTTAAACAGCATATTTTCATAAATTGAAAAGTTTATTAGAAAATAAGGATATTTTTATATTGTGTGGATATTTGTTTTTACTTCAAGCCGTCTTATAGCCTTCAGCTCAAACGGCTTGAAATAAGTTTTAGTAAAAGCACAGGATGGGCCTTCCATTACTGTTTGAGGATTGGAAATTGGACATTTAAAGTGCTTTGATAATCAGATCTGCCCAATATAAAGATTACAACCAACTATAAAGTTGAAAATGAGTCAAAAATACAGTAAAAAGACATTTAAATAAATTTATTATATGTATAAAGCATTTCCTTCATTTAATCTTACAAAAAGTGTGTTCATTCTAGGCATCGCCGCCCCAGAGAAAGGCCATTCCACTTAATGATCTCACCTCTCCTAACTTGCTCCAGTTGAAGGACTTTAGCGGATGAGAAGGCTGAGGGATGGACTTTGACCGCATTGTGTTCATGGAGTTGAATGATGAAGGGATGGGAGGGGGTGGTGCTCCAAAAAGAGGAGGGGCCCCGGGTGGAGGAGGCGGCCCCCCTGGCGGAGGAGGTGGCGGCGGTGGAGGTGGACAGCTGAACGGCAGTGGAGGCGGTGGTGGCGGAATGCCAGCTGACATAGGTGGAGGAGGTGGAGGCATTGGTGCTCCAGGGGGCGGAGGTGGAGGCAGCATGGAGACACTGCCACCCTGCTGTGGGATCAATGGATTAAAGTTACACGTTTTGATAGAGCTCTGCATTTACATCTACTTTGTCACTTATTAAAAGGTTAAAAAAAGGAATTAACCTTTATTTATAAGTCATATTATTCCGATTATAAATGTTACATTATTGACAAAGTACCAATTAAACTACAACTAATTTTATAAAGTAATTATAAACAATTAACAGACTTGTTATTACATTAACAGTCAAGAAATTGACAAGAATGCACACTTTGTAAATAAACAAATAACTTAGGTATCTTTCCAACCCATTAAACAAAGCACCAGAAATGCTTATTGAAAGTTTATAAAGTGCTTTCATAGACCATAGCCCTTTACTATATATAATATATTATCTATAAAAAAAGAACTTACTATACACTAGTGTTAAATTAAGAAAGATTAACTGACAAAGCTGATGACTTTTGTTTATATTGTTGATATACTCATCTATTTGGAGCCAATAATTGCAATAAAGTATAATATATCGAAAAGTTTTGCTTGGAAAATATAAGTTTAAACTTTTTCTTACTTCTCTAATATATAAATTATATATATATACTGTATTAAGTCATGAACTTTACTTTTATGTATAAGTTTATTTCATGCCACTTGTTTACTTCAAATAAATTTAATTCAAAGTTGTTAAAGTTACTTTACCAACATTGATTCGGACCCACAATAAAGGCATCAATATTTAATTTTTGCACATAATGGCAGTAAAGCTGCCTATTATTTATTAAGCTACAGAGCAATATTGCCCGTTTGTTCAGGGGAATAACTCTGTAGTCCAGTAAGTGGTAATCAGTGTTTTTTTTCCCCTTAATTGACTCAAACTGATGATTGGAAGCTGCTAAAAATAGACATCTATGTTTTACAGTAACAACATGGCTCACTGTTTCCTGTAACTTTAACCAGCACAGTGTACTAAGGCGCCGTTTAAACAAAAATCACATAGAAATGAATTATTTTACTATATAAATGGGAATATTTGATTGCCATATGTGATCCTATTTGAGTTGCACACTCTACCAAATAAACTGAAGTGCATTTATTTATCTTTTAGTCCTTAAAAGAAAAATGTAATATATAGAGCCGGAGATCAAAGAAGCTTAAGGTCGGAAACTCTGCTGTTTTTAGATGTTCTTAGAAGGGGTGAATAATTTATTGTAATGGCTGTTACATTTTCTGATGTCAAATCCCTTTTTTAACACCTTTTTTTTTTTAAACTTGGCTTTTACATCCAAATAATCAGATCTTTTTTTTTTTTTTTTCAGATTTTTTAAAATATATTTATCTATTAGCCGTGTTGTTGGTGTTTGTGTCTAATTGGTCACCTTTGAATGTGTTTGTTGTTTGTTTTCCTTTATTTTAAATGTATGGACCTGTGCAGAACTGTTCTCACTTTGATTGTGTAAAGTGTTTCATAAATAAAGATTGATTGAATAATTTATGCAGGAAAAGCCTTAATAGTATAATACATGACAGAAAAAGCTCTTACTGAGATGTCATTGATGCGTGACGAGAGGTCAAGCACTTGCTCTCTCGCTGAACGCAGTTCCACACCCTCACGTTGCAGCTTGTCCTTCATCTTGTTCAGAGTCTTCATCATCTCCTCCTTCTCATGGGTCTTTGTCTCACACTCCCTCTCTTTCCTCTCCAGTTTAGCCATTAGCTCTGCATGGTCTGCAGTTCAGCAAGAGGGAAAAATGAAGCGCTCATTTAATGCAGGTTTTTGTTATTAAAAGCCATACTGGCTGGTAACAATCTCCTCACCTTTCCTGAACTTCTCGGCCTGTTCTCGCCAAAGTTTTACCTCGTTTTCATTGACCAGCCTGTGAAGCAGACGTACAGGAATAAAGCACAGCCTTACAGAAGAATGCTTTACACGTAGGGGTCAACTGCTCTCCAACCGAGTCAAGCCGGGACATTCTGAGGGAATTTAATCACTGGATTTAAAACTTATTGATCAGTGACACTAATCCTGGACTTCCCTTTTAGTGAGAGCAGTGACCAGTGTTGACTGGGCTGAAGCAGTTGGTTCATTTAAGCTCAGAGGGACAACATTAGTGCTGGGATCAACCCTGCTGGGCTGGAAGTGGTTATGATTTCTCAGGTATTAACTCTGGGACTTGGCTGAGCTTGAAAAAGTGGTTATTTAATGAAAGCAATTAGAAATGAGATTGGGAACAATTGAATAAGAAACAAATTTAATGATTAGCAAAAGGATATTTGAATATATTTTTTAAGATGATGAAAGATTGAAAGTGAAACCTTGAGGAGTAGTGGTAGCTTTGGCTAGAGACAAGAGAATAAACATTTTTCAGAGGCAATTATCATACATTACAGAAAACAAAATACAATAGCATAGTCTTAAAATTTATTTTCAATATTATGTCACATTAAAAACCTAGATCTCAATGTAATTCATTGGTATTTATGTCATAAACCAAAAGATAATGGTAAATGGAAATAAAAGCAGGTTTAATTCATTTTCGGGCCTCTTTACTGTGAAACTCTAAATAAAATTGACTGCAGCTATCGTCACAACTTACCTTCTCAGTAGACAGAAACAAACTGATATGTTTAATCTCATAAACGCTGGAGCTATTTTGCAGAGAGAAACTAGCAATGAATTCCTAGATGTGCAGCAGGTGTTTTTGTATAAAAGGTGCTTCCATACAACCAATAACGATGCAAAGAAACATTTAGTATTCATATGAAATATTTTGTGCTAATGCATGAAAATTAAATCCAAAATATGTAAAAACATTAAAGGAGTAGTACTTTTGCTAGGCTGTAACCAATTGAGGTGATCGAGTTACACTTTTCTTTATCAGCCGGTCATAGGAACACCTTTGCGTAGTTGTGGAAAATGCGTGTTAATTTCTTGTCCTGCACTCGTGTCCTCCTCCGTCATCACCATAACCACGGATGATGAATGACTTCTTCTGCCAGTTGTTTTAACAGTTGCTCCGAGGCGCCCCCTCCTCCATAAGAGTCTTTCACGGCACGAGTCTTACATTTTCACCCGTTCACCATCAAGGCATCGCAATGTGGAAACCTCTGTTTATGTTCCCCTTTTCACCGGGCGCAATTTACTCTTCAAGAGTTTATGGAAACACACAATAAGACTCTGGCTGAGGCGTAAAGTGAGTGGGTAGAGTTTAACCGATGTGGTGGATGTGTGACGGGCAGGAATGGAGTTTTCTGCACGCTCCTGAAAATCATCGCACTCAAGTGATTGCAAAAACAATGGTGGTTGAATTAGTGAACAAAGCAGGAGCTGTCAGGGGCCAAAGTGAACCACGCTACATGCTTTATGGTGCTTTCACCACAGAGACTAAACACATTAATCACCGATCAGGAGCTTGGTTTAAACATAACAAAATGGAGGAGAAGGCAGATGGAGAAAACAGGAATGGAGGCTTGTCAGAAGGAGAAACTGAGATGACATTATGTACAGAACAAGGCTCTAAATGTCATCTCTTAATACTGACAAGAAAATGCATTAAATCAGCAGAAAATAACATCAGGTCTGACTCTGAATTCTAAAAAATTTCCATCCTAGACATCAAGAAAAATCAATGATCAACTATAAAACAATCCTGTTAAACAACAGGCACAGTAATGAATCTCAAAACATCAAGAAAATATTTTTGCTTCTCCTAAATAAAAGCATGCTGCCTCCTTGTTTCTTACTCACCTTGAGAAAAATGCCTGTTTCACTGCGTCTCAACAGGGCAGAACATTTTAAAGCATTTTGTCTTTGATATACCTCTCACAAAGTTCCCCACCAGCCTCCTGCTGATAACTGCTGCTGTCTATATATTGCCTCAGCTTCTCTGAGAGTTCCCCGGACAGGTTTTAAAAAAAAAATTCTCTTTTGTAATTTTTTGATCAGGTTTTATACTCAGCTGGAAGTTCTGTTGATTTGATGCGATACGTGAGAATATAAAAATAAAGCTTTCAAAATGGCGAGTAGGGAATGCTAAAAATTTATTATTTACAGAGTAATGATTGGCCCAGAAACTTGAAAAGACTGCACTTCTATATTCAAAACCTTTGAAAAGTTTACTATATCTCAGCGTTGTAATGCAAAATGTAGCACGCACCATTTGGAGTATTTTAAGCATTTATTTGATTTATGTAGCTGATCTTAGCTCACAGCTAAAGGAAACCTCTCACATGATTAAAAATACTAAGAATTAGAAAAATTGAATACAGAAGTCTCTTCTGTGTTCTTGTTTATTTCTACACAATATTGGGAAAAAGATGCTACTTGGTAACGAGTCAGTAAAAAGTAATTTACAGCCTCAACAAATGGTTACTGCTGTAGTATGTAAGCGATTTATGTAAAGCTGATTGTCAAAATTTACAGAAATAAAATGGTTTACAGGAGACATTTTCAAAAATAAAAATATAATCTCCAAGAAAAATATCCCCATACAAGCCTTAAACATCTCTTCTCTCCTGTTATTTCCTTCTGCGTTTTATAATAACTTTACCTCTAAACAGGGGCGGATTTAGGAAATTTGGGGCCCTAGGCAAAGACAGGCAGGGGGCCCCCTGATAAGAAAACCCATAAAACAGACCCATTCTACAGATAGAGAAATGTTAATAGAATAGACATCCATTATTTGTTCTAGGTTTTGTCCCTCTCTTCTTGTCCCTTTTTCCTCTCTATTTATCAGCATTCTGATGGCATTTTAGCCAAAGGATTTTTATCAAAAACATAATTAATGTGCACAAATAAGGAATAGTTGTATTAACTATACATGTAAACAGAGTTTTATGGGGCCCCCAGGAACGTGGGGCCCTAGGCAACTGCCTAGTATTGCCTAATGGTAAATCCCCCCCTGCCTCTGAACCTACAACCACTTTTTATTCATTATTCTTGCCATTTATGGGCATCCTTATGCTTTGGCCATTCAAATAAAACTTTTATCTCTTTTTATTAATTTGACATCAAAATGGGATTCTCTTCTTAGGAGTTTTTGTTTTTACTGAGCCGTAAAGTACTAATTAAGTATGGTGTGATGAATGCTTTCACTTACATGCGAATAATGTTCTTAACACTGAAGTTGTCGAGCGGGGAGACGTCGGGATCCTCTCCTTTTTCATCTTGCAGGACGATCTGCTGAAGGATCCTGTCTAAAAGCTGCCAGTGCTGCAGACTGCAGCCTCCACGTTTATCTGAGAGCAGATAAAGAAAATCCCATTCGGTGCATATATGTGAGATTGGCTAAACCTCACGGGAAAACATGCAGCCTGTTGAGGCAATGCTATTTCAGACCGTTTTTATTCCACTCACATGGCATCTGCAGGCAATGCTGAAGGATTGAGAGAAGATGTGGGTAGGAATCTGTGTGGCTCAGTTTCTTCTTGATTAGTTCAAACATGGCGCCAGCACTCTTTGTGTCTACATGGGTCTGATAAAGAAAACAGACGGTTTTGTTTTTTTCATAGGCCTCCAACTTTGGATCAAAATGTCTCGCTATAAAAGATGGAAACCCACCATATCGAATCTTTTGGCTAGCTCAGAGTCATCCTCATTTCTCACCATCTCAAAGAAATCCAAATGCCTAAGGAAAAAAAAAAGTTAAACAGTTTGAAACAGTTGGAAATGTACATATTTACTTAACCACTATTTAAATATGAACCTAAAAAAAGATTTTGGTTGGTAACTTAAAAATGTTTCTTCTTTGTTTAAAGCCATAAACCTTTCCAGATTTTTTTTTTCAATAATGCTTCTTTGAAGCCTCCCTGTTGAGTAAATAATCAATAATGAAGTCAATTAAAAAAATTAATTGCATCAATATTTATTTTGTCATTCTACTTTACAACAGGCTTTATGGTTTGTGCACTGTGTACATTCAGGTAGAGCAGTTGGTCAGCTCTGTTTATGCAAAAGCTAAAGACAGTCCCTCTATTAAGGTGACAATATCAGTGGTTAGACAGTTAAAAACCACAGAGGCTTTAATTAAGCTGCTAAATGCACCCCATTAAGCAGGCATGTATGCATCATTTAACTCTCCAGAGCAAAGTTTACCTAAAATATAGCAAAAAAGATGTAAAAACACTATAAAAGATCGATCTTATTTAATAACAATTATGTACTGAAAACCAGGAGAATGTAGTTTTTTATATTTCACATGTTTTTGTTAGAATAGCAGTGTTAATATAACGTCACAATGAATATTATAGCATTTCAGTGAAAATCACCAATTTACTGACTTTAGACGTCCTTTTTTTAATAATAATCCCTTTTTAAAAGAATGTGACTTCCTGTTTGCCTGGGATTTCCATATTTTACACATTGATAAGTATCGATATCAGGCATGAAATGTAAATCATACATGATGTATGAGCAAGTAATGAAAACAAAACATCTAAAAGAGGACTTTCTAAAATAATAGATTGTAAATTTGTTAATATTCTTTTCAGGCAGCAGCAGATCTACAGTAGAAAATCCCTCACCTGTCCAGAGTGGCGTTATCGTGCTCTCTGAGCTTATCGATGACCGGCTGAATGCCCAACATCAGGAACTCGTACCTCAGGTGAAGACGAAACTCTAGGTTGTCCTGAAAGAAGCATAAAGAACAAACTTGAGATGATATTATTAAAGTAATTATTTTAATTATTTCATGACAGAAAAATTACATAAATGTCTTAAAATATGATTAAAACCATTTAAAAATCATGACATCAGGAGTTCGAAAGTTGTCCCTATTATCCCTCACACAAAAAACGTATACATTCTTCCCTATTTTGAATTATTAAAAACATTCACCAGAGGTTAAGTTGCGAGTTCATTAATTGGTAAGAAAATAATGCAGTGTTTTAAATGAAGATTCTGTGAAATCATTGATATTTTCCACAAAGACTTGGGTTAGTTGTGCTATTAATCAGGGATAAAACAAACATTTAAACACATGCTGACCTCTCCCGCTCCAGCGTTGAGCACTGCGTTGATGAAGGACATGATGGCCGTCTTCAAGTTGACTTCGTCTCTGTAGCGACCAGTGCTTCTGTCCAGCTCATTCAGGAGTGTCTGGATATTCAGGACAGATTGAGAAAAACCCACAAATCCTGTTCAGAGCTGAAACTGTCAGATTAAAGCTTCGATGAGCAGCAATCAAGCAAGCAAAAGAAACCACAATTCTGACAATATCAGAAAACAAGATGACATAGGTTCACTGTTCTACTGTAAGTTCTTCTACCCTTTATTATTTATTAAAGTGACCCCAAACATTCTTGAGGAGCTTAATCATAACTCAGCCCAATGTTTAAAACTCTCCTATGGTCTCAGTGACTCAGATCCTGGGGTGTTAGTTAGTCTGAAGTGTCATGATTCACTGCAGACCCCCCAGGGTGACGTTTAAGATGTGGTTTATTTACTCACTCCTACCACTTTACTAAAGCAGTCCAAGAGTCTTGAATAGAACAGTGTGTGAGAATAAAATGAAGCCCCATAGCAGATACGCACATGTAACTAAATTCAAAATCACCTCTATCATGTTCTTAAGCTTCTTGAGATTTGGAATCAGTGTATTTATTTTGCAAAGGTTTATTAAAAGAGTCACAAGCATAAGTTTTGAAAACCACTTATTTCTTTATTTTTATAGACTATAACGGGGCCGTTATTTGTTGTTATTGGCCTTAAAGGTCCCATATTATGCAAAATTGACTATAGAATCACTTTGTAACAGTCATATGTGCCGGAAGCTTGTGTACGAGAGGAATAAAAAAAAAATTTAACCTCTCTCATTGTATTTCTCCACCTGTTAGCTGTGCTCAAAAAGGTCTGTTTGAAAAGCGTTCCCCTTATGATGTCATAAGGGGGATTATTTAGACCAGAGCCACCTGTAGAAGCCCATCGGTTAAGCTAGAGCCTTCATCTAAAGCAGGGGTGTCAAACTGGTTCCAGAAAGGGCCGAGTGGCTGCAGGTTTTCTTTCCAACCAAGCAATAGCACACCAGACTCCAGTCATCTCATTAAGTCATCATGTTCAGATTGAACTCAACTTAATGAAATGACTGGAGTCAGGTGTGCTATTGCTTGGTTGGAAAGAAAACCTGCAGCCACACGGCCCTTTCTGGAACCAGTTTGACACCTCTGATCTAAAGTATTATTAAGCGCTGTTAGCCTTTATCTTTACAAACTCTGACTGGTTGTCAGAGTTTGTAAAGATAAAGGTTGTCTGGATGAGGGCTGAATAAGAGATTTTTCAGTACATGTTTTCTACCTAATGTTAGAGGAAATTACCTGCATAAATGAAAAAAACATGTTTAGGCGGTCTCATTATTAATATTTCATCTTAAAATTTAGCATACTGTGGGATATTCAATGAATGTTTCTCAGCTTTTCTAAAAGTCAGTAAATAATAGCCAAAAACCAAAGAAAAAAAGCGATTACTTTCCAGCTGTGGTGGAAGGCTTTATTAGAGTATGATTGTGTTTCAGAATTTTTTTTTTTAGAGATCTTCAAAATTCATAAACCAGTGAGCTATCAAACAAAATGCTTATCTGATCTTTGAACTTAGCATAACTTAGGTCATGATAACTATAACCGTTTTGGTGCAGGAGTCTTTACTTAAGGAAAAAGACTCAAACTTAACCAGACTTGTTCCAACTGTTGTCAGAACCAATAAGAAATGCAAAGCTCTTTTTTTTTCTTTATAAAAAAAATCCCTTTTTTTAAATTTCAAGAATGTAGTACGGCTTTATTCTCATCAGCTTGTACTACAAATTTCTGCTTAGGGTAGTCATTTAGAAAAAAAAATATAGAATTACTGCTGTCTGTTATTCTATATTCTAGAGTTCCAAAAGAGATCAAAATAGGCTAAAATTGTGTTAGCAGGGGAAAGGTTTTAAATTAGAATTAGACATGAAAAATAAAACTAAAATAATAAAAATAATATAACTCAAGTAGACTATAAACAGAGGTGGGAGATGTGGAGCCACCAACTCATCTCTATGTCGTGTATTTGTTCTGTTAAGCCAGATCAGACTGCGCAGCTCTGACCTCCGACTATAAAACGTTCCAAGAAAGTGTGACTAATAGGTAGAAAGATCATCTAAAGGCTACTTAACGTGACACACAATTATAGTGTTATGTTGGTGTCAGTTCAGCTTTCCACACCTGGAATCGAGTCCTCTCAGCAGCGTATTTCTGGTAATGCGCCATGGCCTGCAGCACCTTCTTGTGTCCATCAGGTACCAAGCAAACAGCTCCCAGAATCTCCAGCACTGCCACTTTGGTTTTAATGTTTTCCGTCCGCAGGCTCTGAGAGATGGTGTTGATGCTCTGAGGATGGGCCAAAACATGTGCGCGCCCCTGTGAGTTGTTCATCAGCGCCTTGATGCAGCCGATGACTGAAGTGTGGATACGGCTCTCCGACGTCTCGTAATCCATGCTGCGCATGAAATTGAGCAGGCAGGTGAGTCCGTCGAGTTCGATGAAGCGTGTGACGAACCTTAAGGAGGAGCGTAATAAAGAAAAAGTTAGGACGAATCAAGTTATGCAAGATGTTGATAACTTGATGATTGCTCTTCATCATTATATTGGGGCCCTCTGTTTAGTAGCGTGAAGACAAAAGAAGGAGTCATGACATGTTGAACAATTTATCCCTCCCTATGCATGATTTGGTTGCAGGACTGGAGAGCTCATTAGTTACAGATTATTGCAACGCAGATGCACAAAGGAACGTCATCACAGATCCTTCCTCCCAGAATCTGTTAGGCTTTCAACAATTTCTTCCCCCAAGAATATAATCAGGATTTGCATCCTGGTTGTTAATTGCAGAATGTTCAATTCCTCATATTCTGTTGTTGCTTTATATGTACAAATATACATGCACAAGCATTTTTTCTCTTTGAATATGTGTATGCTATTCTTAATATCTGCACAACAAATATTTTTCTTTCAAAGCTGAACAGTGTTTTATTTGCACCCTGTTTTTAGATTTTTATCTTTGTATTACTCTGCATGTTTATTGACTTGCCTTCCACTTTGCTGCAGGTAAAGATGGATTTTCCCATTAAGGGAAACAAATAATATTTTGTTCATACTCACTATCTTACAGTATTATTGGTTATGGCTTTAAAATAGGGTATGGATCACTAAGCAGGGACGTCATAAAATTTCATCTGTAAGCTTTGCTTTTAGCTATTCGATCTAAGATATTTTAGGCAATATTGGATTTTATTTGTGTTATTTTTAAAAGAAAGACAGAAAGTAAAAACCTACAACACAGTGGTAGAGTTCATTTCTTCCTACTATCCTGGCAACCCCCACCCCATACAGGGCAACAGAACACCTCGCCTGTTCAGCAAGAACAACAATTTCCTCTAATGACCCCCTTTCAGAGACATACACAGGTATCGTGCATTGCAGGCTTAAAAAAGAAACCAAACGAGGAACCATTCCTGAGGGGTGGACCTGTTCGTCAGGTTCAATTTGCATTTTTTCTAAGCCACGACAAGGCTTTGCTTTGGTCCACTCTATAAAGCCTCAAACTCAACTCTATTTCTGCCACTTTGAATTGAAAAAGCTTCCTGGATGGGAAGCAAAACATCTTCAAACTTGGAAACAAAGTCCAGTAGATAGTTTCCTTTCTGTCATTCCAAAAAAGTTAGAAAACAGTATTTGAGAGAGGGGGGGGGGGGACAAAGGTCACTGAGCCAGGACCCAAACCAATGACAGCTATTCTATTCTGCTGCTCAGGATTCCTTTTAAACAAGAACTGGCACTTAAGCACCCGATGCTGTCTTTCATTCCTCAATTTTACGGAATTCCTTTAAGTTACAGATTCAGAACAGATCTTCATTTTCCTCAAATACTCCAAGATCTTTCGTTCATTCCACTTCAATAATTTCCCAGGGCCACTAATCAACACCAAAAGGCCATCCCAGCATTCCTAAAACTTTACCACCTAAAGTTCACCCAGTTCTCCGTCTCAAAGGTCCCTTTAGCTGAACTTTTGAGAAATCTGTGAGACAATGACCTTAAGGGGACAGAAGTGACAAACGGGATGTGTAAACATAGCGGGATGTCATGTTCAGTAAGCACATGGGCTGCTTTGCAAATGAGTATCCCACTGAAGATTCTTGATGGACCTCATAAATTATTTCAGACAAATGAGGGTTTGATAGAGGACAGACATGACAAGGGCTTACAGAGGGAGGAAGTGAGAGTGTTGCCTAAAGTGATTTCTTATTTTTGCCATTTGTGGCAGATTTTGTTTTATTTCTTTTAAATAATGTGCTCATCTTCTGTTTATCTTCATCAAATGTGTAAAAATACAAGGAAATTTTAATATTTAATTTGAATCGAGGGATCCATCTCTGCTCAAAACAAAAAAAGATATTTCAAGCAGATTTCTAGATAAGAGCGCAAAACTCTGTTGAGGCACGATTTCCTCCTGATAAAAAAAAAAATCTATATGCATGCATGCATGCAATCAGCTGCTTACCTTTCATGTAGTGGAATCTTAGACATCAAACATAAACATGTGCAGGATGTTAATGAGCACAAGAGCAACAACCTCTACTCTGTCTGCACCAAGGTGACGACAAACACATCCCATGCATTAAATATGACTCAATTTAAATTCAACACAGACACTGGAAGGCTGAACGAGACAAAACTGGTCCAAGTGTAACATTTGCACATTTGATACCTATGAGGAAAGCCTGAATAACGTGCAGAAATAGCCCTTTGCCTGCTCGTGAGCTGAAGGCCCTCTCTGGAAGCGCTTTCATAGTGGAGGAGAAATTAGGCTGAACACCCCTGTGATTAATGTATGGAAAGAAGAGGGTGAAAGCTGTTGTTCTTGGAGTCTGAATTCAAAAGCATGGACGGGATTCAAGGCTCTGCTTACCGCCTGCTTCGAATCACTCTGCTGAATTATATGACAATTTGCCAGAGACATACACGCCACACAAACTGTGCACCATAGCCTAATGCATATGTGTGTGATGGATGCATGCAAGAAATTTGCATAACCGTGCATGCAGAGCTCGGTGCCTGAGGTTCACCTGCATCTGATCTTCTGTGATCCTTCTTTCATCAGTTAATATTCACACCCAGCTGATTGGCATAAAGGTCTAATTACATTTTGTTCCTGTTGGAAGGACTGCTGCATACTTTAAATCTCAACTCGGATCGGCTAACCGTGCATATGAACTCAGTAGACTCAGGGCTCCTGAAGGACAAGAAAAGCATTTGAAACACAACATTTTTTTGCAAAAGAAAAAAATAAAAACTAGACTTAGTTTCATCTGGTTAAAGATAATCAAAGCTGGGTTTGCAGCAGGTATAAGTTTAGTTTTAACGTGTAACTGGATGGTTGCTGTTGATGTGAATTAGTCAGAGTTTGCATTGATCTTAAAGATCCTAAAACTTTTTCATTAAAAGGATTAAATAAAAAAGTATGTATTACATTAACAGAACTTCAAGAGTGGTGATGAGCTATAGCCTTGCTCTGCAAGCTGGATTGTCACGAGCTCTTAGTTTTCAGTCTCACTACAAATCCATCTTGAAAATATAATTATTAATTACATTGTATTGTACTTTATTGCATTGTCTTATGTCTATGGTCAGAATCGCCTTGCTGGGGCATTACAAACATAGCTACGCTGGAGGAATCAACTGTCAATTCCGCAATTGACTTTGTTTTAGCAAAGTCAATTCATTTTCTTTAAAAAGGAGCAAAATAAGCATGTTGTGCATTTGTAGACGGGAAAGATGTCTGTGCTTTTCTTCTGACAGGATTTGGTACAAGTTTGATTTATCAGCTTACTCCGCTAGTTGTTAAAACACTCATTAAGCAGCAGACAAATACTATTGCAATAATCCCTGTTGGTGACCAAGTTGCCGAAACTAATAAGCTGGTTATTTCTGCTATGAATCTGGGTGACAATGATGATGACAACGATTGGCTGAAAGCATACTATGGAAGGCGGGTACAAACTGGCACCTCACCCAATCAGCTAGAAGTATTACACTAAAAGTCCCTCCTTTTCACGGACAGACTTAACTATTGATATGTGTAGAACTCAATTAGGTTCTATACATATCAATCTGGCTACTGCAGAATTAGCTGTAATTGTGATGGATTCAAATAATAAAAATATTTACAGTCTGGTTAGGATACCAAAGTTGACAAGAAAGGTTTCTGCACCAATAGGAATCGTAGGTTGAAGTCACATGAGACGGAGTTCAGAGTAGAAAAATGTTTTTTTCTCAGCATTATGTTTCTAATAGTCAAGCCAAAAATTAAAAAATAAAAGGAAGCAAAATGATGTGAAAATTGGTAAAGCTTTTAAATGTTGGTGCTCTGTGATTTTTGTATGGAAAATCTGGATATATTTTTGGAATGAAACATATCTATGCATAAATAAAATATAGAATATTGTAGATTTCTTGCAAAGGAGGATATCGATTCATCTCTGCCACTTCCTTTTCTTGTGATCCTTTCATTGCAGGTTCTGTCCACAGCCACCATCATTTAGTTAGTAAGAATTACAACAACTAATAATAGCAAAAAGATTGACATGTTTCATTACTCTTTGGCAATATCTGTTATAATTTTTTCAGTTGTTTTGATGTTACAACGTGCTGTTACACATCAGTTTTACTCTACTGTGTCGAGAAAGTTGCATTATGAAAAATAATCACATGAATACACTTCTGGTTAGAGGTTCTTACAGGAATTCTTATTAACATTTATATCAATAAATTAGAGCAGCTTAGTGTAACAAAAAAAAAAAGGCATAAAGTCTGCATCTGTATTTTTATGACTGGGAGATGTGAGCAAAGTTAATAAAAATGATTTGCTCATCAGTGGTTTGCTAGACCTTTGACCTTATCTGGAAATCTGATACAGTCAGTAAGCAGAATGAAGTGGAAAAGTAATCAGAAACTCAAATTTAAATTCAGAGCTTTAGTTCAGCTAAATGCAGTGTTTGAGGTTTCCGCTAAAGAGGCAAAATTGTTCTGTTTGAACCGAGGATGACCCCAGAATGGCAGACAGTCTGCCTCGAAGCACAGCCACACACACTTATCGGAGTCCAGCCTCTCAAAATGCACAAACTTAACCAATCATGTGCTCCCCGGAGCCTTTCTCTGTGCCTCCATGTTCACGCACACACACTTATAGTCTCCCTCAAACACCCATTTGTCTAAAACCAGGGACACTCAGTCACACACAGGTCTGGTTCAACTAAAAAAGAGCCAGAATGAGAACAAGAGGCCCACAGAGGCTGTCAGAGGTGCCAATTACGGCGCACTGACTGGAGGTTTTTGCAAGAACAGGACAAAAAGTCCCATAATATTAGAACACACACGTTATAATTGCAAGACCTGGTGTTGAACTGAGGGGACATAAGGGCCGAACAAAGGACAGAGCACATAAAACTGACATAAACTGACTTTGATTAAAGTCTCAGCCAAAGTACACATCTGTAACAAATG